GGGGATGCCTTCCCACAGGAGTCTTCCTGCTGGCCTGTACCTGGGGCAGCAATGGGTGGGGAAAGGGGTTATGGATAGTGGGTCCTAGAGGTTATGGACTGGGTCCTAGAGACAGGACTCTCTGGCTAGAAGAAGAGACACTCACCTCTTGGTCCAGTCAGAGCTTCTGGATTCTGTCCTGGATATTATATTTCATGCTCATGTTTTCATATTGGCATATAGGTATTGGGATTGGGAAGATTATAGTTCTGGGTACTGATATTTATTTTTGTCTTTGTTAGGTGGATGCTTTCTTACTTGGTTTCTGTTTCCTCTACAGTTCTTAGGAGAGTGTGGAAGCTGTGGGTTGCCTGGTAGGAAAATTTTCTGGGGTCCGGATAAGTGTGGATGTGGGGGATAAAATGTGTTTCTGTGTATTGTGATCTGACACTTAGGAGGGGGGATGGGCTGACACTTATGAATGGTAATGGACCAGGGATATCACAGAGGGTTCACAAGGTGGATGAAAGTAGATTATTCCATAGAACACCATGCTTAGTTATTCCCCTGGAAATATGGACAGAGAGTGAGGATATGCCACAGCAGAAGGTCTGCTATAGAGCAGGGAATAAGGCTGAGGTATTGGACTTGGAAGAACGGAGGGAAATAAGAAGATCTCAGTTTGCCTATTTGCTTCTCTGGTAGGAAGGTAACCACTGAATTGCAAGGCAAAATGGTCCTTCAAGTTCCTGCTTCACAGAAGAAACTGGCAAACATTCTATAGGACACAGAGAAAAGTAACTGACAGACTCTAGGCCTGTAGGCTGAAGAATGGATGCCCCAACATTGCAGAACAGCTTTGGGTAAACAGCTTTGTCCAGGTAGCCAGCTATCTCTTTCATTCTAGATTTTTGGAAGTTGCTTACAATAATATTCCTGTTTACTTAGGTAATATTATATCCTTCTGATATCTTTGATGTAGTTGAAGACTAGATAGTTATAATTTTGCTTAGTTATGATAAAAGATAAATTAGATATGAAACTTTAGACTCACAAATATAGGATAGATAGAATATTTTCTTTAATTTTGCCAAATACAAATAGACTAGATATTTTAACTGTAATTCTTGCTTGATAACTGTTCTATTATATGTTGAAGTTAAAACCTTCATTGTAAATACAAAGAAAAGAGGAAATGATTGGTGATGTCACTCACTCTGTGTGCTGTGAATGTGTTGCTTTGATTGGTTGATAAATAAAATGCTGATTGACCAGTAGCTAGGCAGTAAGTATAGGCAGGACAAGCAGACAAGGAGAATTCTGGGAAGAGGAAGGCTGAGTCAGGAGTTGCCAGCCAGACACAGAGGAAGCAAGATGTGAAGGCAGAACTGAGAAAAGATACCAAGCCACATGATTAAACATAAATAAGAATTATGGGTTAATGTAAATGTAAGAGGTAGTCAATAATAAGTTGAGCTAATGGCCATACAATTTATAAATAATATAAGCCTCTGTGTGTTTACTTGGGTCTGAGTGGCTACAGGACCAGTGGATGAGAGAGATTTGTCCTGACTGCAGGCCAGGTGGGACACAGGAAAACTTCAGCTATACTACATATACTGTTAAACTACTTAATCTTAAAAATAAAGCATTAATACACATAAACATCCACCTATTCACTCTCTTCCTACATTTATCTATCTGGTTATAGAGACAATATATAAATTGATGATATATATTTGCAAAGGTGCTCATTATATGTTTAAGTAATTTAGCTTAGCATTAGAGATATCTGACCAAAAACACACAGAAAGAAACCAGATTTCAGTTTCTAATCATAGTTTCAGAGAGTTCATTCCATGACTGCTTAGTCCCATGTGTTTAGGTTGTATATTCTGATTGCAGGACTATATGGCAGAGGAGAAAATTTTCACATCTGTTTGGACACCATCTCTGTGAAATAACAGTGATGCAATGAGTAGAATGAGATGTCACATATCTGGTCTCCAGAGTCAGAGAACAAGAGGCTTGGAATACTACATGCTTACCACAATAGGCATCTTTGGGATTACAGTAACAGTGAAGTAAATAACTAGAATAATGAGGAGCTTTTCTATTTATCCCCATGAGATATGAGGTTGAGTATGTAACTCAGTGTGAGGTATAAGTTTAAATCATAGTACCTACACACTCAGAGCCAGAAACAGTTGGAATTTTTAATGCATTGTTTCTTGAGGAAAGATATTCAATTTCCAATATTCAGGTGAGCTTCTAAAATTAAGGCAAATAACTTATGAAAATTTCATTCTTAAGTAACATGAGTAAAAAAGTAAATATGAAAGAGTGAAATATGAAAAGTGATACTTTTGATTTGTCTCTTCTCAGTCAAATAATCACACAAACTTAGGGCAATACTAACCAATGTTTTATTTACCAGGTTCTATATTCTGGACAACCATAGGTCTAATTTTTCTCCATTCAGAAATATGTCTTTTCTCAAGAAGTCTTTCTCTTAAAAATATTACACTATTTTCAGAAGTTTTCACACTGTGGAGAGAAATCTTGGGAGTGCTTTAAGCATTAAGACCAACTATTTTATATGAGGTTGGTAAAAAAATAGAATACAGACTTCTATCAGTAGACTATTACTATAGCCAGTACTATTCAAACAGGAATTTAAGTGAATCTGACACAGATGCTCGTGAATTCAATTTTCTTTTTACTTTATCCTTTTCAAAGTTCCCACCAAAAATATGGAACTGAAAAACCAAACAGCACTTTCAGAGTTTCATCTGCTTGGACTGACAGACAATCATAAACTTCTGCCCCTCATCTTCACCATGTTCCTCTCCATGTATCTGATCACAGTTCTTGGAAACCTGCTTATCATCATGGCCATCAGCTCTGGGTCTCAACTGCACACACCCATGTACCTCTTCCTCTCTATTCTGTCCATTAATGACATTTGTTACAGTACAGTCACAATCCCCAAAATGCTGGTCAACATTCAAGCACAGGATGACAGCATAAGTTACAAAGAATGTCTCTCTCAAATTTGCTTTGTTTCAATTTTTGGTGGCATGGAAAATTTTCTCCTGGCAGTGATGGCCTATGACCGCTATGTGGCCATTTGCAAACCCTTGAGGTATACAGTCATCATGAACCCTTTTTCCTGTGTCCTGATGGTTCTATTCTCCCTTTTCTTTAGTATTATGGATGCCCTACTCCATAGTCTGATGGTCCTGAGACTTTCCTTCTGCACAGAAGTAGAAATCCCCCACTTTTTCTGTGAGCTTGCTCAGATTATCAAGCTTGCCTGTTCTGATACATATCTTAATAATTTCTTGATATTTGTTGCAGCTTTTATCTTTGGAGGTGGTCCTGTCACTGGAATTGTTTTTTCATACATTTATATTATATCTTCAGTCTTGAGAATACCATCTTCTGGTGGAAGGCACAGAGCCTTTTCTACTTGTGCATCACATCTGTCTGTTGTTTCCTTATTCTATGGGACAGGTTTTGGTGTGTACATCAGCTCTGCAGTAACAGAATCTCTCCAAAACACAGCAATGGCTTCCATGATGTATAGTGTAGTTCCTCCATTGCTGAATCCCTTTATCTATAGCCTACGAAATAGGGAAATGAAGGAAGCCTTGAGGAAACTTGTTGGTAGATTCATCTACCTTCTGTGATGTATCCTATGCTATCCATATGGCATTTTAAAGAAATTCAAATTAAGTAGAAATCTAGTGAGTGAAAATTCTCCACTTTCCTATAGTCACTAAAATGACTTCAGTGTGTGATAACTTGGTGTACTTCAAATCATGTTGAGGTTTTTCTATGTTATATTGTCTGAATTAAGTTCCATCTGTTTATTACTTTAGTTCTTAGAGCAATTGCTTTATCCACAATATATAGAAAGGCAACCTAAAATTACAGATGTCATTGTTTTATATTTTTTCTGTTGAGCTTTCAAAAGTAGTTACAGTTGGTAAACCGTACCGTTATGAACACAACTGAAACAACATGCATCTATTTGATAGTATTATTGGTGACCAGAGAATTGCAATTTATTTCTTAGATTTTGAGCAACTTGATAAATGTGTACTGAGAATCTACCTGTCATAGTAAGAATATCTACTATAATGTGTCATCATCAATAAAATTTAATACATTAAGAATTCAATTAGTTTAGATAAATAAGATTTTAAAATGAACATGAAATGGGTTTCAGTCCAAAGTTATCAATTGTTCCATTCATGAATTAAAATAGGACATCAGTTTTTTCATATATAGCAAATTTTAAGTAATTGTCACTTGATTCTACAATAAATCTCTCCTCTCAAGAACTTTTTCTACATAACTGCCATGAGTTCAGGGAAAATGCAGATGTCAAATTATATATGATGCCAAAGACATACCATTTCTGCCCTTTCCTCTGCTACATGAATGGTTAACTGTTGAATAATTGCCATACTATGTCTCTGTACTGGAATGAGTGGTGGTCTTATGTGCATGTCCAGTTTTTTGTTGTTCAGATGTGATTGCAGAGGGTACCAGTGCTCCAGTATGTGACACTACATTCATCCACATAAAAGGGAACACTAAATAGACAAAAGCCTTTTAAGAAACAAAGAAAATATGCCCTAGGGATGGGAAAGTTGTGGAGTGATATGGAGGATATTGGAAGGGAAGTAATTAGTGTGGATTTGATCATAGCATATTATAAGAGTTTATAAAATCCTCAATTAAAAATGAAATAATTCATTATAATCTGATCATAGAAAATATATTAGAAACAGTTTTTATAATATGCAATGTACAAATAAATTTCACTAAGCTTCTAGAAGTAGCTTTTTAAATGATTATTTATTTATAATTTCTTATTATATTTTTACTGAATATATATATATATATTATATCTTGATACTAATTGTGTCTTTCATTCCTGATTAAATTGTATTTTATTGGTTATTTGTGAATTTCATAAAGTACATCCCAATCATCCTTACTTCTCATTCCATACTGCTGGAAGTTTTTGTGTATGCTGCTGGCCAGTGGAATACATTAATGGTCTTATCCAGAGCAACATCTTATATGAGCAATACCAACATCCTAGGTAAGATATACATACTGACACAGTAATAGCAAGAGATCTAAATAATAATGCTACTTCTCAGATGAATTTGAGGCTTTTCTACATAAGGAAAATTCATGTTTGAAACTGTAATCCTGGTCCAAATCTCATGGATGGGTATTTAGACTCTAGTCTAAAGCCTGGTGTTGTTATTTTTGTTTGTTTGTTTGGTTGATTGGTTGGTTGGTTGGTTGATTGGTTGGTTGGTTATTTGGTTGGCTTTTTGAGACAGGGTTTCTCTGTGTAGTTTTAGCACCTATCCTGGATCTTGCTCTGTAGATCAAGCTGGCCTCAAACTCACAGAGATCTGCCTGGATCTGCCTCCTGAGTGCTGGGATTAAAGGCATGGACCACTGCCATCCAGCTGGTGTTGTTTTTTTAAATGTCTATGCAATCGCCTTATACATATTTGTGCTTCTGTCTTTAGACCTGGGGTGCTCTCACCCATGGTCAGAGAAGTTTCTTTTTGATGCAGGCAGTATTCAATGGAGAAATTCATAACTGGCCAAAGTGCTGAGAATAAGAAATTGAGTTCTCATTCCTAAAAGAGACATCTATGTTAACCACACCAAAATCGAGGTTCAGTGAACATGGCAGACGATAAAGAAGAAAGGACACCTTAGAGCTAAATGGTTATGAGGAGTGCTGTGAAATGTTGTCTTCTGTAAATGACATGGCTATTGAACTCATGAACTCCCAATGACTATGGCTACCCGCACAAGAACTGTACAAGATCAAGGCAGGCAAAACTCTTGCATAGATCAAATTCACAATCTCAAGGTCCAACTCCTTACTTACGAACTGTTGGCAGAGAGTAGTTGTTGGAAGAAGAATATTCATTTATTTGGGAGAGTGTGGCAAGTGGTCAGTGTCCCATGCTCCCATAGATTTCCCTACATCCATTCATGTAAGGGTGGCACTAACTAGATTCAGTATATTATCCAAAAAATGTACATTAAATTTGAAAGGATTTTGTCAGGGTAGATGCAAAGAGAGTTGAAGGGAGAAATAGAGACAGATATGATTGTACTTCATAGTAATCATTTATAAAAGTTCTGAAAATAAAATTTAAACATTTAAAGATAAATAAAGTGACTTCTCAAATACATTAATAATTTATCTAGTTAACAATCACATCATAACTATCTTTTGTCAGGATCCTGATAAACTATGTGTAGAGATTCACTCTTTAATATTCTTCCACTATATCAGCTCTTGGTAATTTACATGTGTATTTTTCTAAATATCATTTAGAGATAGCTAAATATCACTTTTAGATGAATTATATCACTTTTAGATATTATTTACATATCTCTAAATGATATTTCCCCATATTGTTCCAGTCTTCATGTTTATACTCTTCCTACCTTTTTGCAGGATATTACTATTGGGAGATTACTACAAATGTTTCTATGAATGAACAAAAGGTCTAAATAGTAGCTTTGCTTTGTGTGTGTGTGTGTGTGTGTGTGTGTGTGTGTGTGTGTCTGTGTGTGTGGTTTGTATTTGTTTTTTTGCTTGTTTGTTTTGTAATAGTATTTTTATTTTATAATTAACTTAATTTCACATATCAGCCACTGGTTCCCCCATCCTCTCTCCTTCCACCCCCTAGCCCTCCCCCCAATCCACCCCCACTCCCACCTCCTCCAAGGCAAGGTCTCCCCTGGGGAGTCAGCCCAGTCTGGCAGACTCAGCCAAGGCAGGTCCAGTCCCCTCCTCACTACAGCAAGGCTGAGCAAAGTGTCCCAGCATAGGCCCCAGGCTCCAAAAAGCCAGCCCATGTTTTCCTTTTCGTTCTTTCTTATCCAAATCCCATTCAATTTTCATTCATTTACTTCTTATTGGGGACAAGCAAAATGTAATATATATTACATTATGAAAACAATGACTTATGGAGAAGTATTTGGGTGAAAATTATGTCTAATATGAGCACCGAGTTTTGATATTAGAAATAGCTCTTCAGGTTCTGAGTACAGTTGCTGTTTTGAATCTATTGTTTCTGTGAAAAATCTATATTTTCAGGGAATTGTCAACACTGACAATAATGCAAAAACCTGGTAGCTTTATTATGGTGAAACTTCTAGTAACAGAAGTGATAATCATATTGACCTATAGATGCCTAAATGTGCAGACATGAAAGTCATAAAAAATTAAGTTATACATTCACCTCTGTCTTCCAGAATGTTGACTACAAATCCTTCAACCTAAGGGCACACACCAGAGTCACACTTGTGAAGGCATTCATGTGAGCTTTATTCATCACAACACTTTTACACTTACGTGACACTAAGAGTAAATTACTTACATGACACTTAGAGTTAATAAATGTATAGTTTATAACTATTATGAAATAACAAAATCAGCTAATATGAATAATGATGTAAGAGCTCTGTTCTGTTGCATATTAGAAATGTATAAGCAGCAGTGCTTGTGGTGGCAGGAATTTATCACAATTATTACAGTTTTTAATATATGTTAATATCCACCTTTACCAGAAAGATATAAGGGATTATGATAGTTTACATGAGAATGATCCTTATAGGGTCATATGCTTGAATATTTATTTTTCCCAGTTGGTAGAACTGTTTGTTAAAGATTAGGAGATGTGGCCTCATAGGAGGAAGTGTGTCAGTGGGGTTAGGATTTGAGATTTTACAACTTCCCACCATTCCCATTGGCCTTTTCTCTCTCTGCATTCTGGTTGCATCTCAAGATGTGATCTCTCAGCGACTACTCTACCACCTTTTTAGCCTGCCTAGTGCCTAGTTCTCCAACACCATGGTCATGGATTCTAACACTCTGAATCTTTAAGCCCTAAATTAAATTCTTTCTTTTACAGCTTGCCTTGGTCTGATGTTGAATAATCCTCCTGTACACTCTAAAGATTTGTCACTCAAATTGGTTTAATAAAACTCTGATTGGCCAGTATCCAGGCAGGGAGTATAGACAGGGAGACAAGATTAGGATGGGAAGGAGAAGAGCAGTGTCAGGAGTTGCCAGCCAGATGCAGAGGGAGCAGGAGATGAACGTACCATGTTAATAAAGGTACTACCACATAGCAAAGTATAAATAGAAATACGGGTTAATTTAAATGTGAGAGCTAGGTAGTAATAAACCTGAGCTATTGCCAGAGCATTTATTATTTTTTCTTTTTTTTATTATTGAGAACTTTTCTATTCATTTTGCTTACCAACCACAGACACCCCTCTCCTCCCTCCTCCTGCCCCTCAGCCATTCCCCCTGCAACTCACCCTCCATTCTCACCTCCTCCAAGGCAAGGCCTTGCATGGGGAGTCAGCAGAGCCTGGTACATTCAGTTGAGGCAGGACCAAGCTCCTCCCCCTGCACCAAGGCTGTGTAAGGTTTCCCAACATAAGCACTGGGCTCCAAAAAGCCTGCTCATGTACCACTGCCAGGGGGCACCTTAAGCAGGTCAAGCTAAACAACTATCTCACCTATGCAGAGGGCTTAGTCAAGTCCCATGGAGGCTCCACAGCTACTGGTCCATAGTTAATGAGTTTCTACTAGTTTGGTTTGGTTGTCTCTGCATGTTAC